CAGCTGGAGGCTAGTTACTACTTGGAGTACTAAGGGTACTGGGGCTAATGCTGTTTAACCTCTCTATTAATGATCTGAAGGTTATGGGATGGAGTGCACTCTCAGCAAGTTTTCAGGTGATACCAAATTAGGAGGAGTGTTTGATACACCAGGTGGTTGTGCTGCAGTACTTTAACGGGCTGGTGAAGTGGACAGAGAGGAAACTCATGAAGTTCAACAAAGGGAAATGCAAAGCCCTGCACCTGAGGAAGAATCATAGAAACATAGAATCGTTTTGGTTGGAAGAGACCTTTAAGATCATCGAGTCCAACTGTTAACCTAGCACTGCCAAGTTACCACTAAGCCATGTCCCTCAGCACAACATCTACCCATCTTTTAAATACCTCCAGGGATGGTGACTCAACCGCTTCCCTGGACAGCCTGTTCCGATGCTTGATAACCCTTTCAGTGAAGAAACTTTTCCTAATACCTATGCTAAACCTCCCCTGGCGTAACTTGAGGCTGTTTCCTCTTGTCCTATCACTTGTTACTTGGGAGAAGAGACCGACCTCCACCTCACTACAGGTCCTTTCAGGGACCTGTAGAGAGCGAATATCCCCATGCACCAGTACAAACTAGGCAGAGGTTTCCTGGCTGGAAAGCAGCTCTGCGGAGGCGGATCTCAGGGTCCTGGCAGACAAATTGAGCACAAGCCAGCACTGCACTCTCACAGTAAAGGCGGCCAAGAGCATCCTGGGCTGCATAGGATTAGCATGGTCAGCAGGTCAATAGAGATGATCCTTCCCCTCTACTCAGTGCTGGTGAGGCCGCATCTCAAGTGCCATGTACAGTTCTGGTCTGACTTGTATAGGAAAGACATGGACATCCTGGAGCAACTCCAGTGAAGGGCCCCTACTACTATTAAGGGACTGGAACATCTGATGCACAAGGAAAGGCTGAGAGAACTTGGTTTGCATAGCCTGGAGAGGAGAAAGCTCAGGGGCAAAATTAATAATAACTGCAAATACCTGGTGAGAAGGAATGAGGAAGATGGAGCCAGACTCTTCTCAGAATCTCACTGAGTTTCAGAGTCTCAGCAGTGCCCAGTGACAAGACAAAAGGCAAGGGCGCAAACTGAAATGCAGGAAATTCTTTTTAAACCTAAGAAAAGTAATATTTACTGTGAGGGTGGTCAGACAGAATCAGGTTGCCCAAAGAGCTCATGGAATCTCTATCTTTGGGGATATTCAGACCCTGGCTGGGCACGGTCCTGAGCAGCCTGCTCCAGCTGCCCCTGCTTTGAGCCAGGGGGTCGGAATAGACAATCTCCAGAGGCCCCTGCCAACCTCACCTAGTCTGTGAACCATCCATCAAACAAAAGTTATCTTTCCCCTTTATGAATCAGAGACAAACCATTGATATTTTTAAAAGACAAAATATGACTGCTCAGTCCCACCTGCCAAACTTGCACTGTTCTTCCATCGCTTGATTTCTTTTGAGCCCACAGTGTCTTCTTTTGTTAACCCATTCATTTCCTCTGGTCTGTTGCTACTGTTCACCTATGCACTCTGTTCTTACCATTCTAGTTCCTCATTAAGTCCTTGGAGGAATATTTTAGCGAAACCCCCGGATCTGTCTCCATCACTACTGTTTAAAACAGCTTCCCTGCCTTGACTGTTATCGAAGAGTTCACCAGTCTCCTCAAAATGTTCCCTCCACCCTTAACACTAACAATTAATTTTCATGGCCAAAAACCCCAGATCCATGTTCTACACCAGGAACTAGCTGTGCTTGTAATTTGAGTGGGGAATAAGTCAAAAGGTAATGGAGCAATTGTCAGGTTAGTATTACAGTTATTTTGCTTCCTCTTCACTGTCCTTCCTCTTAGGTGTTGTGTAGCTTTTGAACTACATCATGAGAGAATCATCATTATTGCTTGAGAAATATCGCCATGCTCCATACCAATTTAATATTAACCAGTTAATCTCTACAATGCTATCTTCCAAAACTGTAAGAAAAGTGTAAAAGCTAAGGCAAAAAATTATAGTTGCCTATTTATTATGGTGATGACTGATGCAGTGGAAACCAAGTTGTCTTTATGCTTGAGTCAAAAAAATAACATCCCCAGGCAAATGAAAAACTAAAATTGGCAATGCTGACTTAATTTCTCAAATCTGGCATATAGGTCTGTGCTTCCAGTAAGCCTGGTGCTGGCCAGCAGATTTGACTTATATTTTAAAACCAGATACATTTTAATTATGTTCCCTCTAGATTTTCTCTTAATTAATTGGAAATTTCCAAAGAGTTAATTAAAAATACAAACTTTATTTGATTCTATATCAAACCTGACATTATGATCTTTTTATCTACAAGGCGAGAATTATAGGGGATCAGGAGTCTGAATTATTCATGATAGTTTCCAGCCATTTTTCCCCTCCTCCTTTGTTCGGTATAAAATCTTATAAGCTTTTCTTTCAGTCAAGGTGAAAGCAATATTAAGTCTCAGAAGTGAAACTTACCAAAGACATGTAGCTCTGTGAAATCCTTGTCCTGTAATCCTGGCTTTCTATTCACCACCACTATTCAATATCCCACTTTCTATATAAGCTTCACAATATATAAGCAGCTGATGAGATTTATTTGTTATACTCCTGTTTTCCTTCTTCATAAAAAAGCTTCCTCCATCCTTTTGCTCCCCGAGGAGTAACACTGATGTCTGGGATTGTTTCTGCTGGGCTCGCTAATCCAGCAGCTCCATTCAACATGCTGGAAAGTTGGTAGAGGGTGGAAAGTGAGGGAGGAGGAGAGTTGTGCTTGTTAAGATTTCGGACAGCATGCATAGTGAAGTTTAAAAACATTGTTAAGATCCAGTTAAATAATTACGATCTAACGTGGTTGATTGTGTGAGTAGAAATACTGGCAGGTCACTGTTGAAAAATGCTTTATGAATTAAGGCTTGACTGTAGTACGTTGGACCTCTCTAAGGGACTAAACAGAATTATTTCTGGTCAGTTTGGAGACCTGACAACAGATGAGTTGGGAAGTTGAGCCTGATCTATGCTAATGAGTCCCACATTTCATGTTTGCAGTATTGCTCCTGATGCCTGTAGCAGCTCCATGGATGTTTTTTCTTACAGCCTCTAACTTCGTCTGTCATGGTATTTTTCTCTTAAATAAGCACTTTTCTGGAAAGAAATGTAAAAGCTTTCGTATTTGTTATTAAGGTTAAAAGGACAAAAAGTATTGTTGTTGTTAAATAAGTTCTTTGTCTCTAACCTTTCAAAAGTAAATCACTGTCTTTAAGGTGAAATTAAAACATACAGAGAATTCAGTATGCAAATAGCATGCTCACCAGATGATCTGAAGGAAGCTTGCACATTTCCATAGAAAACAAATGTGAGTGTGGGAAAGCAGATGCTTTCTACCAGCAGAGTGTACATACAGTTCTCAAGAGGACCTGAACAGCAATTTATTTTCAGACTGCTGGAAGTATGCAAATTCCTACAGAATTAAATGTGAATTTAGAAGAAATGGCATCTATTAAGGACAAGACAACCCAAAGAGGCAATTGGGAACTTCATAATTTAATCAAGAACTTTAACAGGCTCAGCAGTATATCTAAAGTCAATGACTCAAATGTCATCTGTTTTTAGCAAAGACGTAAGTGGTCATGTTGAAAAGATGTCCTTTAGAATATGGCATTTGGAATGTTTATCTGTGACCATGGAGAAGAGCGTTGGTATATACCATGTATAGATTTTAAGATGATTCTCCATCAAAAACATCATCTGTTCACTTCAGCTGCTCATAGGGTATAGTCAGTGATACACCTGTGGGGTATCGCCAGCATTATGTTTGCTGGTTTTAACTTCTATTAGTTTAATCCAGCAAGTCTGGGTAAGTTTGATTCTGTGCTGACACACGTAATCACCGGTTATTAATTAAATTCTCACTGCTGGACACTGTTCCACCTGATGGCTGTGGGACTGGGTGGCTGTTACTGAGACTATCATCCGAAGGGAGTAGTGCTAAGTGCAGTGGCATAGTCTTGCAGAAGGGGTATTGCTGGTGAGCTGGCAGCCAGCTGCGTAAAAGTGGGAACTGTGTTTTTTCCTCCTTTCTGCCAATCACAGTATTACTGGAGTGGGGACAAGCACACAGGACGGCAGAATTCAGGCTTGCCAGGCAGTGCTGCCTCCACTCCTCCCCACCACCCTGACAGAATCCAGCTGCTCGGTTCATCCTGCTGCTTTTTTGTCTCTTAGCGCTTCCATTTAATGACTCCATTTGTACAGAGAGGTGCCCAAGTCGGGTCAGAGAGGGCAGGAGATGTTGGTTTAGTGGAATGTGCAACATCACATTTAGTATAATTTTTTATGAAACATGTAAGGTCAGATGTGTCCATTTAGGTGCACTGGGAGCGACAAGTTTGCAGGCATTTTGAAAGCTGTCAAAAGGCAGTGAAGGTCACTGCTTATCACTTTAGGAGTTTAACTTCAAGCATTCATGTATGACGAGGCTTGGCCAGGGTTCGCATGGCAGAAAACCCCCGGTACGACCTGGAGCCTGCCGAGCCCTGCTGTGCTGGTACAGCGTGATGAAACACGGTGAGTGGCTGGGCTGTGTCACCCACCTCTCACACACTCACAAACAAGGAACAAAGCAAAGAGGAGTTTACTGAGTGGGTAGATATAGCGGTACCTCATTTCAGAGCATAAATGCTTGAATTGATAATTAAAATTAACCTGGTCTGCAGGGGGGACATTGATCACAAGGGTGAGTTTGCCAGGTAAGGTCATCTCTGCAAGCGGAGACTTCTCAGCCTTGTGAGTTACTCGTCTTTGTACTCTGCCGGTGTGTTTTAAAAACACAAATGACTGCATCGTATCTGTAAAGACACAGATCCGTAATACTCGTGCTGCCCGTGGTCTGGGCTTAGAGGTTTACCAAAATGTGTGTTTTCCACTAGTTAAGAGTCATCCTCTTGCAACTGAATAACATGTAACTTTTTCTTCACACAGGTTGTAATCCTCGGCAAACATTCTAGAGGCTATCACTACATGTTAGCTAACCTGGTAAGAGCTTTTCTTTATTACAAGTAAAGCTAAGGTTTAGAGGGTAATATATTCTGTTCAGGTTGTGGCAACTTTAATCAGCAAAAGAGGAAATGCATGGATGAGTTCTTGGATTTTGAGAAATTACTCCAGTAAATACTAGAACTGGTGTGTTATAGTCATTTGTACTCAATTATGGTCTTTCTTTTGTTTAAGAGTCTCCTCTACTAATCTTAAAATAATAATTTAATTACATGTTTTCCACTAATTTGTATCCTCATAAATAAGACACTTGATAACCATTATTTTCTATGTAACAGATTTGAAATTTAAGCACTCCAGGAGAGATAATTGTAGCATATTTGTATATAAAATAAGTGGTAAAAAGCTGCAAATTAGAACAATTCCATCAGGTAAACCAGCCAGGCTCTCTAGCTCTTCTTTTGTAGTGTAGGGTGGTGCCTGTGTGTGTGATGACCTACCAGGACAAGACAGTACATTTGTATATGCTTCTTATGGATTCTAGAATTGACTCTCAGGGATGTTTATGATGCCTTTGAAACACCATCTGCTATAGTTCCTTTGAAAAAGTGCTATATTGTAATTGATCCTGCAACAAGCCTAATTTTTTGGTTCTGTGTCTACTGCGAGTGGAAAAATGTTTTTCCAAAACTCACACTTTCAAGTTAGCAATCCCTCTTAGTAGAAGATTCTCTGTGTCCATGTTTTGGTGTGATTAAAGTAAAAAAGACAAATTTTAAAATACCCTTACTTAGTATAAGCACTACATCACTTTCAGATGTGTCATTTTGCATTATAAGAACCAGTTATGGTCTCACTGATTAGCGTGTGCATGGAAACACAGGGGTTCTTATTCTGGGTTGCCTTTTAGCATGTGTAACCACTGACATTCAGATAAACATGACTGCAATCAAGTCATACTAATCAAAAAGACACCAATTTACTGCCTCAGGTATAAATAACAACAGAGTGGGAGAGAATCATACCGTTATGTTTTCAAGTGAAATGTTAAGTAATGCTGTGACGGAGAAGTGTCTAGCAAGAGGTGTGCACTGTACAAATGGGATGGAAGCCTGTGACTAGTTTTCACCATGATGAGGAGAAAAGAGTACTTCAAGTTTTCCCACTGTTTTCTTCCTGATCAGTGAATATTATGTACCGCATTGCCACAGCACAACACGGCAGTTTTCTATTGCAAAGGTCTGAACAACAAGACATTTTAAATTCTGTACTCTGCTGCTATCACAATCCCAGTTGTGATAGTACTGGTCTCCTTGGTAGAATATTTTCGGCTAACAAGAGGGAAATCAATCCATTTCTTCTGTGCTACTCTTGTAGCAGGTAAAACTGAGCCAAAGAAAAGGGACTTTGGATGGCAATGATTCTTGTTTTCTACATGTGTCCTCCCAGGGTTTCACAGACATTGTTCTGGAGAGAGTAATGCATGGAGGTGCCAATGTTACTGGATTCCAGATTGTTAATAATGAAAACCCAAT